TACTCCCAACACCCCTGAGCACCCTCTCCCACCAGTGTCTTGCCTCGGTAATGGACTGGATGAAAGCCAACAAATTGAAGCTCAATCCAGATAAGAGTGAGGCTCAGTTAGTGGGTGGTTCCCTAGAGCAGATGGCTGGGAGGTCGCCTGCTCTTGATGGGGTTACACTTCCTTTGGAGGAGCAGGTTCGTAGCTTGGGGGTAATCCTGGATCCTTTGCTGTCACTTGAGGCTCAGAAGGCCTGTAGTGCCTTCCATCACCTTTGGCTGGTAGCCCAGCTACACCCCTATCTGGACAGGAATAGCCTATCTACCGTTGTCTATGCTTTGGTAACTTCAAGGTTAGATATAGATATGCGTTATACGTAGGGCTGCCTCTGAAGACAGTTTGGAAACTTCAGCTAGTGCAGAATTCAGCAGCCAGGTTGCTCACCGGAGTAAGGCGGGTGAGCATATTACCCCCATCCTGGTCCGACTGCACTGGCTACCAGTTAGTTTCCGGGCTTAATTCAAGGTGCTGGTTTTGACCTATAAAGCCTTACATGGCTCAGGATCACAATACTTCAAGGGCTGCTTCTTTCCATATGAACCTAGCCTGATCCTGAGGTCCTCCTTCGTGGGCCTCCTCCTCAAGTGGTCTGGAGGGTGGCTGCGCGCCTGTGGAATGCTCTCCCCAGGGAAGTTCACCTGGCGCCTTCCTTATACACCTTTGTTGTTGATTAGTCATCTTAGTTGTGTCCAACTCTCCGTGACCCCATGAATCAGAGCATGCCTTGGAAATTCACTTTCCTCTCAAAGCTTCTCCTTTTTTATGTCCATGGAGCTTTCATGGCAAAATACTGGAGTGGGTTGCCAGTTTCTTCTCCAGGTGGATCACATTTACCGTATTTTTCGCTCTATAACACGCACCTGACCATAACACGCACATCGTTTTTAGAGAAGGAAAACAAGGGAAAAAACATTCTGAATGAAACAGTGGATGTATCATTTTTGTGCTTCATGCTGTGGCCACAGACATGTGATCTGATGGTGAATTTGGGGTGACCCAATGCAAAAATCCTGAGAATCCCTGTGGATCCATGCTTTGTAGCCACGTTTTTGCACCATTGCAGCCCCAGGCAACAGTGGGTGCGTGATTTTTGGGGGGCAGGCTGTAGCCATGGACATGCTATGTGCTCTGATGGTGAATTTGGGGTGACCCAATGCAAAGATCCTGTGGATCCATGCTTTTTAACCACATTTTAAGTGGGGAGGGAAGGAAAAACACAGAGTGGACAAGGAGCAGGAGAGGGGTGTGCAGAGAAGCAGCTGGCTAAGAATGCAGGAGAGGGGTATAACGGGAGGGAGGAAAGGAAGGCAAAAGTTTTCCCTTACCTACCCACCCAAGCCAGCCAGCTCTCTCTCTCTCTCTCTCTCTCTCTCTCTCTCTCTCCTCTCTCCCTCCCTCCTGCATGTTTTCACGGAGAGGAATTAGAATGAAGGACGATCCTTTCCTTTCCTCTCTGCTTGCCTGGAGGGGAGGGGCTTTCCCTGCTCTTTGTTCCGTTTGAGCAAACACAGCAACGAAACAGAGGCGGGTGGGCAGTAAGACCCTGAGGCAGAATGCAGGAAAGCAGCCACTTCCTCTTTTCAGGTTTCCCTTCTCCGAGACGCGCAATTTGATTTTTGCCTGCTTTTTTTTGCCTCCACTCGCGCCATTTGGCTCCAGGGACCACACATTCACTCAATAACACGCACAGACATTTTCCCTTCCTTTTTAGGAGAAAAAATCTGCGTGTTATAGAGGGAAAAATACGGTAGTCTAAACTCTTGGCTGACCTGTCTGTCTTGGGTGGCCCTGCTTCTCTGACTTATTCAAGCTCCTTCGCCACGACAAGGCAGTGATCCATGAAGGGATATACACCTTTAAGTGCCATGCAAACATGTTCCTTTTTAACCAGGCTTTTGCTTGATATGTTTGACATCCTATAGTCTTTTTCAAAGGTGGCTCTTTTTTGGGGGGGTGTTATTGGATTGTTTTCATTCTGATTATATATGATGTGATCTTTTCTGCGAACCACGCCGAGTCCTCCGGGTTTAGGGCGGTATATGAACTCAATAAATAATAATACCATATTAATACTTTCATTATTTGTACCCCACCAATCTGACTGGGTTGCCCCAGCCACTCTAGCTGCTTCTAACAAATATAAAAGCATAATAAAACATTTAATTTTTTTTATAAGATATTTATTAAAATTTTCAAAGTTAATACATTATAACAAAAAGAAAAGAAAAAACAAAAATGCAAAAAGGAAAGACAATTTAAAAAGAGAAAAAGAAGGGGGAAAAACCACATATAAATTCCATTTACTTATTTTCTTTTAACTTACTTTCCAGACCTCCTCATACCACCCTTTCTTATATTCCAGTTTAAATTGTTTGAACAGCAAATCCTCACCATTAGGTCTTTTACTTATTTCAAAACCTTATTTTCTATCTCTTAAGCATTACAGCTGAAAACCACTTAATTACTGTCCAACATCATTCTAGCATTCCTTAATTTTACAGTATTTCTGCAAGTAGTCTTTAAACTTCTTCCAATCTTCTTCCGCCGACTCTTTTCCCTGGTCTCGGATTCTGCCGGTCATTTCTGCCAGTCCCATGTAGTCAATCATCTTCATCTGCCATTCTTCCAGAGTGGGTAGATCTTGTGTCTTCCAATACTTTGCGATGAGTATTCTTGCTGCTGTTGTCGCATACAGAAAGAATGGTCTATCCTTCTTTGGCACCAATTGGCCGACCATGCCCAGGAGAAAGGCCTCTGGTTTCTTCAGGAAGGTATACTTAAATACCTTTTTCATTTCATTATAAATCATTTCCCAGAAAGCCTTAATCCTTGGGCACGTCCACCAAAGGTGAAAGAATGTACCTTCAGTCTCTTTACATTTCCAACATTTATTGTCAGGCAAATGATAGATTTTTGCAAGCTTGACTGGGGTCATGTACCACCTGTAAATCATTTTCATAATATTCTCTCTTAAGGCATTACATGCCGTAAATTTCAGACCGGTGGTCCATAACTGTTCCCAGTCAGCAAACATAATATTATGTCCCACATCCTGTGCCCATTTAATCATTACAGATTTCACCGTTTCATCCTGAGTATTCCATTTCAGCAGCAAGTTATACATCTTTGACAAAATCTTAGTTTTGGGTTCTAACAGTTCTGTCTCTAATTTTTATTTTTCCACCTGGAATCCAATTTTTTTGTCCAATTTATAAGCCTCCATTATCTGACAATAATGAAGCCAGTCTCGCACTTTGTTTTTTAATTTCTCAAAGCTCTGCAATTTCAATTTGTCTCCCTCTTGTTCCAAAATTTCCCAATATTTTGGCCATTTGGACTCCATATTGAGTCTTTTAAGAGCTTTCGCTTCCATTGGTGACAACCACCTTGGAGTTTTGTTTTCCATTAAGTCTTTGTATCTTATCCAAACATTAAACAATGCTTTCCTGACAATATGGTTTTTAAATGCTTTATGTACTTTGACCTTGTCGTACCACAAATATGCATGCCACCCAAAAGCATTATTAAATCCTTCTAAGTCCAAAATGTCTGTATTCTCAAGAAGCAGCCATTCTTTCAGCCAGCAAAATGCTGCTGATTCATAATAAAGTTTAAGGTCTGGCAGGGCAAATCCCCCTCTTTCTTTAGCATCAGTTAAAATCTTAAATTTTATTCTGGGCTTCTTGTCCTGCCAGACAGATCTAGAAATATCTTTCTGCCACTTCTTGAAACAGTCCATCTTGTCCACAATCTGCAATGTTTGAAACAAAAACAACATTCTAGGCAATACATTCATCTTTATAACTGCAATTCGACCCAACAAGGAAAGCTTCAAATTTGACCATATTTCTAAATCTTTTTTCACTTCTGTCCAACATTTTTCATAATTATCTTTAAATAAGTTCACATTTTTTGCTGTCATATTAATCCCCAGGTATTTCACTTTCTTAACCACAGTCAAACCAGTCTCATTCTGAAACCTTTCTTTTTCAGTTGATGTTAAGTTTTTCTCTAAAACTTTGGTTTTTAACTTGTTCAGTTTAAATCCTGCCACTTGACCAAATTCTTGAATTACCGTATTTTTCGCTCTATAACACGCACCCGACCATAACATGCACGTAGTTTTTAGAGGAGGAAGATCCATAGGCATGCCACCCGTAGGCATTCCCTCCATAACACGCACAGAAATTTCCCCTTACTTTTTAGGAGGAAAAAAGTGAGTGTTATGGTGCAAAAAATACGGTAAGTCTAAAACCCTTTTAGTACTAGATTCTGGCTCCTGTAATGTCAAAATTAAATCATCTGCAAAAGCTCTCAATTTATACTGTTTAGCTCCGACCTGTATACCTTTAACCAGCTGGTCTCTTCTAATCATATTCAGCAGGACCTCCAGGACCGATATAAAAAGCAATGGTGAAATTGGGCATCCCTGTCGTGTCCCTTTTTCTATCTTAAGCATAATAAAACATTTAAAACTTCCCTCTACATGGCTGCCTCCAATTGTCTTCTAAATGTTGCATAGTTATTTTTTTGACAACTGACGGGAGGGCGTTCCGCAGGGTGGGCACCACTACCAAGAAGGCCCTCTGCCTTGTTCCCTGTAAGTTCCCTTCTCACAGTGAGGGAACTGCCACAAGGCCCTGGGACCTGGATCTCTGTGTCCTGACTGAATGATTGGGGTGAAGACGCTCCTTTAGCATTTCATCAGCTTGCCTTTTTATTCCATCAGGAGATGTTGAAGGGATGCTGGCAGAAGGGGAACAATCAGAAATGTCACCAAAAGGATTCAAAGAACAAAGGAATCTGAGGGTTCAAGAGGGAGGCAGCAGGCGAGAGGGGAGACGAAGGCAGAAGCTGGAGGCTGACTCTGGTATGTCTCAGGGTGGTGAAAATAAAATTCCTAGAGAGAAGAAAAAGCATGAATGCACCGTGTGTGGAAAGAGATTGCGTAGTCACTCAACTCTTACTTTACATCAAAGAACTCATACAGGGGAGAAACCGTATACATGTTTAGAGTGTGGAAAGAGCTTCAGTAAACGTGGTAACCTTACCTTGCATCAAAGAACTCATACAGGGGAGAAACCGTATACTTGTTCAGAGTGTGGAAAGAGCTTCAGTGTCAGTGGTAGCCTTACCTCGCATCAAAGAACTCATACAGGGGAGAAACCGTATACTTGTTCAGAGTGTGGAAAGAGCTTCAGTGTCAGTGGTAGCCTTACCTCGCATCAAAGAACTCATACACGGGAGAAACCATATACATGTTCCGAGTGTGGAAAGAGCTTCAGTCAGAGTAGCTACCTTAAGTTGCATCAAAGAACTCATACAGGGGAGAAACTGTATACATGTTTAGAGTGTGGAAAGAGCTTTATTTGGAGGAGCAGCCTTATGTTGCATCAACAAACTCATACAGGGGAGAAACCATATACATGTTCCGAGTGTGGAAAGAGCTTCAGTGTCAGTGGTAGCCTTACCTCGCATCAAAGAACTCATACAGGGGAGAAACCGTATACTTGTTCAGAGTGTGGAAAGAACTTCAGTCACAGTACTGCCCTTACCTCGCATCAAAGAACTCATACAGGGGAGAAACCGTATATATGTTCCGAGTGTGGAAAGAGCTTCAGTCAATATGGCCAGCTTACCTCGCATCAAAGATCTCATACAGGGGAGAAACCATATAAATGCTTGGAGTGTGGAAAGAGCTTCAGTCACAGTAGTGCCTTTATCTTGCATCGAAGAACTCATACAGGAGAGAAACCGTATAAATGTTCAGAGTGTGGAAAGAGCTTCAGTCACTGTGGCCAGCTTACTAGGCATCAAAGATCTCATACAGGAGAGAAACCGTATACATGTTCAGAGTGTGGAAAGAGTTTCAGTAGGAATGGTGCCCTTACCTCGCATCAACGAACTCATACAGGGGAGAAACCGTATACATGTGCAGAGTGTGGAAGGAGCTTCAGTCAGAGTGGCCACCTTAAGTCGCATCAAAGATTGCACACAGGAGAGAAACCGCATACGTGTTTGGAGTGTGGAATGAGCTTCACTCACCGCAATGGGCTTGCTAGACATCAACAAACTCATCAAGGCAGCAAACCTTATAAATGCTGGAAATGTGGCAAGAGCTTCAGTCGCCTCGACTCCCTTTCCTCGCATGAAAGGATTCATACAGGGGAGAAACCGCATACATGTTTGGAGTGTGGAAAGAGCTTCAGTCATAATGGCACCCTTACCTTGCATCAAAGAGTGCACACAGGAGAGAAACCTTATAAATGTTTGGAGTGTGGGAAGAGCTTCTGTGGCGGTAGCCAACTCAGGTTGCATCAAAGAACTCATACAGGGGAGAAACCATATATATGTTCCGAGTGTGGAAAGAGCTTCAGTGAAGGTGGTGCTCTAACTAGCCATCAAAGAACTCATACAGGGGAGAAACCGTACACATGTTCAGAGTGTGGAAGGAGCTTCAGTCAGAGTAGCGCACTTAAGTTGCATCAAAGAACTCATACAGGGGAGAAACCGTACACATGTTCAGAGTGTGGAAGGAGCTTCAGTCAGAGTAGCTCCCTTAAGTCGCATCAAAGAACTCATACAGGGAGAAAATCTTAGAAATGTTTGGTGTATGGAAAGAACATCAGTGACAGGGACTCCCTTCCTAAACAATAAAGAACTCGTACAAGGGAAACATCTTAGAAAGGGTTGGCGTGTGGGAAGATCTTTAATCATATGAAATAACTCCTACAGAGAGTAAACCAATGATCGTGTTCTGGTCCCCCCAGGACAGCCATTATTGGATTGGAAGAACTTTCTGACAGTAAGAGCTGTTTTGACAATGGAACAGTCTCCCTCGGGAGGTGGCGGGCTCTCCTTCCTTGGAGGTTTTTAAGCAGAGGTTGGATGGCCTTCTGCTATGGATGCTTTAGCTGAGATTACTTCATTGCTGGGGGTTGGACTAGATGACCCTTTTGTTGTTTAGTCGTTTATTCATGTCCGACTTCATGACCCCATGGACCAGAGCACGCCAGGCACTCCTGTCTTCCACCACCTCCCGCAGTTGGGTCAGGCTCATGTTTGTAGCTTCGAGAACACTGTCCAACCATCTTGTCCTCTGTCGTCCCCTTCTCCTTGTGCCCGCCATCTTTCCCAACATCAGGGTCTTTTTCAGGGAGTCTTCTCTTCTCATGAGGTGGCCAAAGTATTGGAGCCTCAACTTCACTATCTGTCCTTCCAGTGAGCACTCAGGGCTGATTTTCTTAAGAATGGATACATTTGATCTTCTTGCAGTCCATGGCACTCTCAAGAGTCTCCCCCAGCACCATAATTCAAAAGCATCAATTCTTCGGTGATCAGCCTAGATGACCCTTGGGGTCCCTTATAACTACAGTTCTATGATTCTATATACATCATCTGCTAGACAGCTGTTGTCACAAGCTTGGCAAATCCAGAGATATACTTGATCATCAGATAATGCCAATATTATTCACTTGGACTGTGCTGTTTGAATCCATGTACAATTCTAGGTGCCTATTCTATAGTTTTGTTTTCATATCCTAATTTTCATCTGCTGTTACTTGTAGCGTTCCCAAAGCAAGGAAGGATTCAGAAGATCAGTAAAGGAAGGAAGGAACGGTAGTATTCACCATCTCTTCCTGAACTCTCTTCCTGGCCCTAAGATCTATCTAAAGATCAACAAACTACATCAAAGTAACCTATTAACTTTCTGGCCTAGGATGGCTGGTGCAGCAACCGGCAACTGGTCTGTGTCCTAGAATGCTTATACGTGCTTGTCAGACATAGAGAAATGGCAGTAGAGAAAAATGGCGTGGATGTAGAGGCTTGTGGGATTTGATCAGAAATTATTGTCAATGAATCAAACCCAGTCAGCGCAATGCTTTCATCGCGGACACAATGGCTTGATGCATATTTTATAATTCCTCATAGTAATCCTGTCTGATCACTAGTTATAGCTGCTATCTCTATTTCATATACATCATAAAATGAAACAGAAAAATCTTTACAAAAATAAAATCTTTATGAATTTTTTTTTAAAAAAACCCTCATGAGTCCCACCTACACTGGAAAAAAATAATGGGATCTTTTCACATCCATCATGGTTAGCTTACTGCAATGCACCGTACAAAGAGATATCGTAGAAGGTTGGGCCACAGGCTGTAGCTGGTGCAGAACGCAATAGCCAGGTGGCTTGTGTGAGCAAGGTTAAAAAATGTAAAGGATACCTGGACAGTTAAGTCCAGTCAAAGGCAGCTATGGTTTTGCAGCGCTCATCTTGCTTTCAGGCCGAGGGAGCTGGCGTTTGTCCACAGACAGCTTTCTGGGTCATGTGGCTAGCAGGACTAAACCGCTTCTGGCGCAATGGAACACCGTGACGGAAACCAGAACTCGCGAAAACACCGTTTGCCTTCCTGCCACAGTGGTACCTATTTACCTACTTGCGCCGGTGTGCTTTCGAACTGCTAGGTTGGCAGGAGCTGGGGCAAAGCAGCAGGAGCTCACTCCTCGCACAGATTTCAAACCGCCAACCTTGCCATCAGCAAGCCCAAGAGGCTCAGTGGTTTAGACCACAGTGCCATCCACGTCAGGCTTGTGGGAGGAAACTACTGCCAGCATAGAGCAGCCTGCTAGTGGGATTTGCACTTGCTACCAATCCGCTACTGGGCTGAGTTCAAGGAGTTTGTACTCACATGCAAGTCCCTGTTCTGCTCAGTCCCAGATATACAGCAGAGATTCTCCTGCAAGTTCCAAAGATCTCCAAAGCACAGACCCAGAATGGGGCTTTTAGTGTCACTGTTTGTGTTCTGTGGAATGGCATCCCTTGGGGGGCAGGAATTGGGACCTTTTCCAGCTGGATAAATAGATTTTAATAATGGGGGTCCACTTGTTACGGTTTTAGTCTTATTTTTATTTGTTGCCTTTGTGTATATAACTGCTTTTTAAAACATTTTTTATATAAATTGCCTTGAGACGGTGGTTTAGCAGGCAATCAATTATTTTGTAAAAATATTTTAAATACTTTTCACATTTATACATTTCACTAATTTTACAATCATTTTGACATTTCAAGGTTTGACTTCCTTCCTCCTCTTTCTGCGGTTCCTTAAGTTTATTTTTAACTTAATTTGCTCATTTATTCATCTTCTTTAAATATATACTGGCATGAAACTGCAGGTTATGACAATAATCCTACCAATGTTTTTATCTGTTTACAATTTATCTGTAAATATTCAATAAACCATTTCCATTCTTTTATTTTAAAAAATGTTATCTTGATTCCTTATTCTTCTGGTAAGTTTCGCCATAGAAGGCAATCATATTTAAGGAAATCAATAAATCATTGTTACAAATAATGTGATAATAATTTTTACTTTTTCTACTGGCATCTGACCAGGGTTAATCCTCCTGTGGATTTTTGTTAAATGGGAAAACGGTAGATAAACAGAAGCAGAGCTATAGAAAGAGATATCCAGAAGATATACACAAATATATAAATCTTGCTGGACCAAAAGAGTAAGAATTGTGATGCTGACACACAGTCGTTAAACCCGTTGAGTATTGCCAGTTAATTTACTTGCATTTCTGAAAATATATTATCATCAAGCAGAGTAAAAGGGAACCATACTGAGAGAGGACACGATCCTGCAAATCTCCTTCATTATTCGGCTGTGCAGGGCTCTCTGGTCAGGACCCAGCAGAGCCCATTCCTCTTCAATGAAACTGAGTCCTGAGAGAGAGAGAAGGCAGGTGGGGAAAATGCTTCCTTGCAAATATCAAAATAGACCGGCCTACAAGCAAAATCCCAAAGCCTTGTTAAGGGGAGGGGAATGGGCATTTCCCTCAGGATTAATATACATTGGTACCTTGGTTCTCAAACTTAATCCATTCTGGAGGTCTGTTCCCAAACCAAAGCATTCCAAAACCAAGGTGCGCTTTCCCATAGAAAGTATTGCAAAATGCATTAATCCATCCCAGACTTCTGAAAACAAACCCTAAAACAGCAATTAAATATCAATTTTACTATCTAATGAGACCATTGATCCATAAAATGAAAGCAATAAACAATGTACTGCAACCACAGAATCATTCAATCAGTAGCTGAACTGGGTTCCACACAGTCACAAAAACAAAACAAAAGGAGCCGCAAAAACAATAATGCAAAATAAATAGCAAACACAGACAGGCCTCAGCGTAACACTCAAAAGAGAAGCGTAACACTCAAAATTGAATCAAGGCACTCAAAACGGAGCAAATCCGGCTTACCAAAAAGTTTGCAAACTGGAACACTTATTTCCGGGTTTGCGGTGTTTGGGTTCCAAGTTGTTGGAGTACCAAGGCGTTTGAGAAGCAAGGTACCATTGTAGAGGCTGGAGAATCTTTTTTCCCCACCTGGGAGCCTGTGTCGGGGCTGCTGATTCTTCTAGATCTGTCAACAGCTTTCGACATGGTCGATCATGAACTTCTGGACCACCGCCTTGCCGACGTGGGGATCCAGGGCACAGTCCTTCAATGGCTGCGCTCGTTTCTCTCTGGTCGGGGACAGAGGGAGGTGCTTGGGGGGGAATTGTCATCGCGCCACTCCTTGGTGTGTGGAGTACCTCAGGGTACGATACTCTCCCCGATGCTTTTCAGCATCTTTATGCGCCCCCTTGCCCAGCTTGTCCGGAGCTTTGGGCTGGGTTGCCATCAGTATGCTGATGACACCCAACTCTATCTGTTGATGGGTGGCCATCCTGACTCGGCCCCAGACACACTGACCAGATGTTTGGAAGCTCTGGCTGGATGGTTACGTGGGAGTCGGTTGAAGCTAAATCCTTCGAAGACAGAGGTCCTGTGGCTGGGACAGGACGATATGGGATTGGGGGGCAACTCCCATCTCTTGCGGGGGCGCAATTAGTGCCAGCACTGTCCGTTAAGAGTTTGGGTGTAATCTTCGACACCTCCCTTTCCATGGAGGTGCAGATTGCAGCTATAACAAAGGCGGCATTTTTCCATCTCCGCCAAGCTAAGCAGTTGGCTCCTTACCTCTCTCGCCCTGACCTAGCCACTGTGATCCACACGACGGTCACCTCCAGACTGGATTATTTTAACTCGCTCTACGTGGGGCTGCCCTTGAGACTGACTCAGAAACTCCAGCGGGTGCAGAATGCCACGGCGAGACTCCTTATGGGGTCTTCGCTGCGAGATCACATTCTTCCGGTACTATACCAGCTGCACTGGCTCCCGGTGGAGTACAGGATCAGGTTTAAGGTGCTGGTTTTAACCTTTAAAGCCCTATATGGCCTAGGACCCTCGTACCTACAGGACCGCCTCTCCTGGTATGCCCCACAGAGAAACTTACGGTCTTCAAATAAAAACATCTTGAAGGTCCCAGACCACAGAGAAGTTAGGCTGGCCTCAACTAGAGCCAGGGCTTTTTCGGCTGTGGCCCCGATCTGGTGGAACGCTCTGTCACAAGAGACCAGGGCCCTGTGGGACTTGACATCTTTCCGCAGGGCCTGCAAGACAGAGCTGTTCCGCCAGGCCTTTGGCCAGGGCACAGCCTGACTCCCTCGGCAATCTTCACGGAGCTCTGGCCCAATGGTGGCCAGTGGATTGAATTTAATTAATTTTATAATGAATGATTTAGAATGTTGTTTGTGCTGTACTTTTGTACTGTTTTATTGTTGTTAGCCGCCCTGAGC